GTTAACCAATGTCATAAAACAGTATGTGTACTACTGTTTCATGAGAAACTATTTGTTCTGTAAGCCTTCACCTGAAGTACAATAAAAAAAACAAAAAACTACGTGTGTAAAAATTTGAGGTGTTATGGTGCTAATGATTCACCTATTAGTTTAAAATCATCAATGCATTTAGAACAGGGTTGCCTTCAATAAAGCTAGCAAAGTATCCATAAAGAATGTAACAGTGAAATAAATATGAAAAGACTCCTTCACAGTTGGCTCAGTTTTCCATATCTTTATTCTTTCCACAAGTATTTACTGACTTCCTACTATGTACCGTGCTCTATGCTAGCTACTTTCTTCCATACCTGTTACTTGTCCATGCTAATTAAGAGGAATCTTTCTTACCTGTAAACTCACAACACTTATTGTTAGGTGCCATCAAGTTGGTTTTCGACTCACAGCAACCCCATGTGACAGAGCAGAACTGTCCCACAGGGTTTTCTAGGTTGCAATCTTTATAGAAGTAGATCACTAGGTCTTTCTCCCATGAAGCAGCTGGGTAGGTTCAAACAGCCAACCTTTAGGTCAGTAGCCGAGCTGCTTCACCATTGTGCTACCAGGGCTCTAGTGCCTTAAATACTCAGATGATGCCACGACTCTTTTATGATTATTTTCTTGGGTTTTTTGATCTGTGCAATACTTTAATCGTAGTACGTATCTCAGTGCTAACTAGATTTTACATTCTCCAAGATATATGCCAGGCATGATTATCAGCCTAGAACAGTGCTAGACACATAGAAAACACTCAGTAAACCTGTGCCTAATGACAGTTCAGGAGACATACCTGTATGTTTTTATTGGTTAAAAATTCAGTCTTTTATTATAGTGAGTGAAATAAGTCAGACACAAAAGGACAAATATGGTATGATCCCACTTAAATGAAATATCTAGAAGAGGCAAATGCATAGAGACCAAAGTTTATCAATGGTTACCAGGTGCTGGGGGAGGGGAGAATGGGGAGTTATTGCTTGCGAGGTGCTGAGTTTCTGTTTGGGGGGGCAAAAAAAACTTTTGAAGATGGATAGTGGTGACGGCTGTAGAATATAGTGAATGTAATTAATGTCACTGGGTTATACACTTAAAAATGGTTAAAATATAAATTTTTTGTTATATAATATTTTACCAGAAGATGACAAAATAAATAAAATAAAAATTCAATATTGTAATGGAGAAACCTTGTAGATTCCACCTTAACCAAGAGATCAAAGTTAACATCATAGGTAATGGGACAAGCCAACATCACGTGCCTTCTGACGGGATACACTGAGAAGGACATAGTACCACTTCTGTACTCTTCCTGCAAACAATGGGTAACCTGAATCCAACATCTGACAAATCCAAATTGAGGGACATTCTACAATATAACCGGCCTGAACTTTTAAAACATGTCAGTGTGTGGAAGATTAAAAAAAAATTAGGTGGAAGAACTGTTCCAGATTAAAGGAGGCCAGAATCATGATCAACTAATGTAATGTATGATCATGGGTTAGAACCTGGGAAAAAAATCCAGAGGGAGGGAGGCAAAGGTGGGAGGGAGGAAGAAACAGACAAACATTATTGGAACTGGTAAACTTTGAAAAGGGTCTACAGATTAGATGATAATATATTGTATCATGTTAAGTTTTCTGATTTTGATCACTGTATGTAAATGAACGTTCTTGTTCTTAGGAAATACCTCTTGAAGTATTTAGAGGTAAAGGGGCATAAAGCCTGCAATTTACTCTGAAATGGTTCAGGAAACAATCACCTGTATATATAAATGAAAATGTCAAAAGAAATGTGGCAAAATGTTAACACTGGGTGAATATGCAAGGGTATACAGGAGCTCTTTATGCTTGCAACTTTTCTCTAAGTTTGAAATTATTTCAAAATATGACATTAAAACAATTAAGTATTAGGTCATGATCATCATCTTCACTTGGTGGCCTGTTCAATGTGCCTGGACTGGAGTTTGATTCTGATTCCCAAGCACAGGTTTGCTCTCCTCAGAACTCCTCTCCTGCTATGTCTTCCCTTCTTTGCTGTCAAGTGTAGAACAGATGTGCTCAGAGGGGTTCACGCATTATATCAGAACATCTTGAGGCAGTGCCACAGGCAGTCCAGATGCCACTTTGCATGTGGGACATCTACCAACTCAGACTCAACAGCTAGCACCCCATATTTGTTTTTGTTGAAGAATGTTAACAGAGTTTGCAAGATTCAGATATACTGCAGCTGTCACTTTGAGTAATGGACATTGTGCAGAATGAGAGAAAAAGCACCAATTTCAATAAGTCTGCTGAAATCTTCCAGAAGCCAGGTTGTTAGCTGGTCCACTGGCTGCTTTTACCATATAAAATGTGTGAAAGGCAGCATCCTAGTGAGTGATTCAGACATACCTTGGCGAAGACCTACCAATTATAGACATCCGCTTCCGGTCACTGTTGAAGTCTAAAATGGCAAGAACATTGTAGGTCCTTTCAGTCCCCAGCTCACTGATGGTGATGGTGTTCTGGGTCCTTGCTAGGAAGGCGAAGCCAAAGTTCCTGGCAGCACTTACCAGAGCGCCTTCATCGGGAGAGGCCGCCTGATAGTTGAGCTGATCTGACAATGGAAGCAGGGAGAGAAAACCCAGAAAAGCTGTAAAACCAAATACCACTTCGAATTCATCACCACTGAGTATTACGTGGGGGTAAGGATGTATTGCCAAGTTCAAAACATCCACAAGCAAACAAGTCATTGGTTCTTAAGGATTATTCCAAAATTAAAATTTCTTTAAACTTTAAAGTTTTCTTCCAATTATAAACAGTAATACAAACTAGAAGTTAAAAAAAAAAATGGCCAAGAATAGGAAAAAAAAAAAAACACTACCATAATCCTACCATCCAGAGGAAAAACAACACTACTGACATTCTGTCATAATTCCTTCCCATACTTTTTTTAATGTCCATTTTTGAAGTAGTTTCTATTATGCTGAATATGCATTTACATCCTGATTATTTTTACTTAACATTATATTTTAGCATCCTGTCATATCTCTAAAAATTCTTTATAACCTTTATTTTAATGGATGTAAATATGTCACCATACAGATGTACTGTAATTGACTTGACCATTTTCCAAATAAAGGCCACTTAAGTTTATTTCCAAAATATTTTTTGCTACAAAAAATAACATTACAATAAACATTTTTCTGGGTAAGGGTTTTTCTGATTTTTTCTGAGGATAGATTCCTAGTAGTGAAAATAGTAAGCTAGAGAATACTGGTAATTTTTAAGCCTCTTAATATATACATATTATTAATTTTGTTTTCCAAAAAAGTTGTGCCAGTTCATCTTCCCTCTAAAAGAGTGTGTTTATTTCACCATAAATATATTTTCATATTTAAAAACATCTTTGTCAATCTGATCAACATTTTGATGTGTAAAAGTCAAAGAATGGAAAACTGCCTTCTAATCACAACTACATTTCAAAAATAGGGACAAATCTCACAAACAATGTTGAGCAAAAGTCAAGACATGGAAGAGATCATGCTACATGATTCCATTTACACAAACCACAAAATCAACAAAGCTAATCTATGCTTTTTAAAATTAGGAGAGTAGTTACGCTTGCAGTGTAATAACTAATGAGGGAGCACAAAGGGGTCTTCTAGGAGGTGGATAACATTCTGTTTTTAAAACTCTGGGGGCTAATTACAAGGATATTTTCAGTTTGTGAAAATTTATTGAGACATGATATGTACGTATATCTGTATATATGTTGTACTTTAACAAAAAGTTAAAAAAGAAATACTCTGCCTGAGATTCTATTTTTCTACTCTAGTCATTCTAGTCGGATGGTGTAAAGGGTTAAGTGCTCGACTACTAGCTGAAAGGTTGGTGGTTCAAACCTACCCAGAGACACCTCAGAAGACAGTCCTGGCAATCTGCTTCTGAAAGGTCACAGCCATGAAAACCCTATGGAGAAGTTCTATTTTGCACACGTGGGGTCACCATGAGTTGGCATCAGCTCAATGGCAACTGACAACAACAACAACAGTGATTCTAGTTATTCTTTGTCAAAACAGAAATGACACTATATCTATGGTCAGATGAATTCTTACAGAAAGGGGCATTCAGTTTTTCCACCATAGTTAGACCAGGATACAGGACATAGATGCCCAGACAACTTTTTATACCAACAATCTATGTAGATATATCACACAGGATATTTTGCTCCAGGTGAATGGCTGTAGGTAGAGCTAGACACTCCCTCCTTCCCTCACATACCTGCTCAGATCGTTCACTCTAATTAAGTCAGTATTAATCACTTTCCAACTAGTAATTAAAGATGACACTTTAGGATCTCTATTTGTTCACCCAGAGTTATGAATTGAACTTGCGAAATCCAGTCATTCTATAAATATACACAAACTCTAAAGGATAAAATATTTAACCAGAGCTAAACAAACAGTGTCAAAAACACAATCCCTTCCCTTCAGCAATTTTAGCTGGCACAGTGATATAGTGCATAATACTGATGGCAAATTTCTCTCTACCAGGAAAAAAAAAAAAAAAAAAAAGGCCAAAAATGATAAAAGATGGTAAAGCGTCTATGAGTAATACAATGGGTTTTGGAGCAAACACCTCGATATTTTTGTCACTAAGGGAAAAAGAAAATTCTTCCATTTCTTTCCAGTAATGGAATCACAGAACTGCAGAATAATAGAGACGGGAGGAACTTCAGAGACCTGGTCCAAACTCCAACTTTATGTTTGCAGAAAGTAACCCAGGAGTAAAAAAGCGTTCCCTGAGGCCATTTCTAAGGAAAACTCTTTAACCCACACTTTGCGGTAACCAGAGAGGCCTTCTTTTCTTAAACAGACTAATTTGTGGTCATGAAACTGAAGTAGACAAAATCTCTCCCTTAACTCTGATCTCAAAACGAGATCACCGTAATCACCACCTACAGACACCCCTTGCCTCTTCCAGGCACAGGCTGAACTCTCTTGACAGATTCTTTATTCCATTCTCCTTAACTCTACCTCTCTCTTTTGCATTCTTGGAATCCACATCATGACTTTCCAATCACCGCCTCCTCAGTTCTCATGCATTTCCATCTTTCGGAAGCAGCTGACCTGACTAGGTGGTTAGCTGTGTGCCCTTGGCTTCCAGGTTGCAGTCCATGCCTGGTCTACTTGTTTGACCACCACTCCATCTCCCTTGCTGGCTTTTTTTCATTACACTATCCACATCTGGGGAAACCACAAGGCTCTAGTTCTGGGCATCATTCTCCTTTCTACCCTAATGATTGTCCAACAGAACAGGCAAGTGGCCCACATAGCAGAATCCTGGGACAGAAGGAGGCTTTCTTCAGATGACATTTATCTTCACTCCCAGACATTCTGAACCTTTCTTCTCCCCCTGGGATTGAGAATCATTGAGGATATCAGGAAATATTACTGGGAACGGCCAACACTTATGTGGTGCTTACTAAGTACCAGGCACTGTTCTGTGTGCTCTTCCAAGGTATCGAGGTACTTACGGATCAAAACCAAAACCAATTTTTCTTCTAACTTCTTGCACTTAGAAATCCAATCTAGCCTCCACCCTAAGAGGCTAGAGCAATTGCTCATCACTACTGCCTGCAGAAAGATTCCCAGGATGCAGAAAGTGAGGCTGGAAGGGACTTTGAACGGCCAGTCTTCTTACTACAACAATGAAGAAGCCAGTGCTCAGACAGGGCAAGATCCTGGCCCATACTGTGGGCCACAGCAGGAATCAAAACTGGGACGGCCCACCATAAGATTAATGTACAGTTGCCTAAGCTGGCCAATTAGCTCTCACAATGACAATACCACAAACCAAAAATGGTAGAATGATTTTACTGATGATTCAAAAGCCTAAGCAAACCAAGTTGCTTAAAAATATCGTACTTTATCCATATTTTACAAGTAAAATTTGCTTGGCTAGCCGAACAGGCTTTCACCTCTGCTTTGGTGATTCATGAACTGGTATCATCTCTTTCTATCATCTCCCACTTGGCCAGCTAATAGCCTCTTCCCTGTATCCATCCTGATTTGAACTCTGCTGCTGTCTTAGTCATCTAGTGCTGCTAAAACAGAAATACCACAAGTGGGTGGCTTTAACAAAGAGAAATTTATTTTCTCATAGTCTAGTAGGCTAGAAGTCCAAATTCAGGGCATCAGCTCCAGAGGAAGGCTTTCTCTCTCTGTTGGCTCTGGAGAAAGGTCCTTGACATCAATCTTCCTCTGGACTAGGAGCTTCTCTGAGCAGGAACCCAGGTTCAAAGGATGCGCTCTGCTCCTGGCACTGCTTTCTTGGTGATATGAGGTCCCACGTCTCTCTGCTTACTTCTTTCTTTTATATCTCAAAGAGATTGGCTTAAAACACTATCTAATCTCATACATCTCATCAATATAACTGCCGATAATCCACCATAGTGATAGGATTTACAACACATACGAAAATCTCATCAAATGAAAAAATGGTAGACAATCACACAATACTGGGAATCATGGCCTAATCAAGTTGACACATATTTTTGGGAGACACAGTTCAATCCATGACAGCTGCTAACTTGCTTTATTGCACTATTAGATTCATTTTTGGAGAGTGGGTTTCTTTGAAACTTGCTGAAAGATATATATACAGTGTCTACACATTTAGTTTGTATGCGTATCCCTTCTCTGGAGATTTTGTACCTGCTACACATGAAATGGAGTCGCTGGGTGGTGCTAAGGGTTAATGTGCTCAGCTGCTAACTGAAAGGTTGGCTGTTTGAGTTCACCTAGAGGCTCTTCAGAAGTAAGGCCTGGCAATCTACTTCTGAAAAATCAGCCACTGAAAAACCCTATGGAGCACAGTTACACTCTATCACACATGGGGCTGCCATGAGTTGAAATCGACTTGATGGCAACTGGTTTATTCCAATATACCATTTGTGATCACTCAATGAATGTGAGACAGACTTGTCATGTGTCCAACTTTGTACACATTTGTCAATTGTGTGAGTTACCTGTAAACTAAAAATCAGGTCTTTGGTATCTAAGATGCCAAAGCAACACTCACCATCGATTCTATCCACCATGACTGTGTGGCAAATTGCAAGCAAGAAAAAGAACTGTCGCACTTCAGGCTCGTTTCCCGACTGGATTTGCTCAATAAGATAATGGTCATAAAATGCAAACTTCCCATCAGCAAATGTATTCCAGCTAAAATCAACTGGCTGAAAGAAATGGAGAAGGAAAAGGAAACATGATCGATAAAAACAATTTTGGCTTACTACTTGACCAAGGGATTAATGATGACACTAAGAAATACACAAGAATAAGGGATGTTATTGGTAAATGCTGTATAACATATACAATTTTGGAACAGCAGCAGTAACAACCAAAAAATAGGTGAGTGGTTACATAGGTAGATATGTATGCATATATGTGCATAGGAAGGTACATGTGTGTATATACATGTGCATGTATAGTTATATCCGTAGGGATATGCATATACATGTTTGTGTGTGCTGCACATATATTCATGTATATAATTAAGCACACAGGGGGCACAGTCACAGATATTTCTTAGATAACCAAATACCTCACAGGATTGGTTTCCTGGATTTGAAGGCTTAGGACAATAGTCTTGTGGAGCAACTTGGTCGGTTGGTACAATATAGTCCATAGAGTTTATGTTCTACATCCTAGTTTGGTGAGTAGTATCTGAGGCTGTAAAAGCTTTTGAGTGGCCATCTAAGATACAACTATTGGTCTCTACTCATTTGGAACAAAAGAGAAAGAAAGAAATCAAAGACTCAAAGAAGAAACTAGTCTACAGGACTAATAGTCTACATGAACCACAGCCTCATGTATCCTGAGACCAGAACTAGATGGTTTGGTTACCACTACTGACCATTCTAAGCAGGGACACAATAGATGGTTCCAGATAGAATGAGAGAAAACTGTAGAACAAAACTCAAATTCTCAAAAAAAGGGCCAGACTTACTGGACCGGTAGAGACTAGAGGAACCCCTGAGACTATCACCCTGAGACACCCTTTAACATTTGAACTGAAACCGCTCCCAGAGGTCACTGTTGAGCTAAATAATAAATTGACTCATAAAATAAACAGTATCACCTATGAG